ATAAAGCTGTTGTCCTTTGCTTGCTTCTTGAAGTAAGCCAGAATTCACTTCAAGTTCAGGGATGAATTTTCCTGATAGCCAGTTATAATATCTTTTATCTCTGCCTTCCACATGCATAAATGTTTTGTTGCAGGTGAATTTATTCACACACAATTGTATATGATAGTTGAAGTGTGCTTTTATACTGGAAAATTAAATATTGTTATAGAGGACTGCAACACTGGAGTAAGTTCAGTTAACTCTGATAGAGTGTGATCTGCTGTGTACAAGATTAAGAGTCAGTCCACTGATGACACTGAAATAATTGTCTGTTTACACTTTGGCATGAGAGGAGATATATTAAAATTGTAGGGCAAAACCCATCTATTTAAACATATTTCAAAATTCCTTGTAAACAATCTTTCATTAGATCTCTCTCCCCTCCTGCCCCTTCTTTCCTTCCTTCCTTCCTTCCTTCCTTCCTTCCTTCCTTCCTTCCTTCCTTCCTTCCTTCCTTCCTTCCTTCCTTCCTTCCTGTGTTTTCTGTAGTCCTTATCACTGATGTACTCAAATATAAATTAGGTTCTCAGGTTTTAGCTCCCTTTTATTTGTCTGGGTTATTCAATGTTTCTTCACATTGTTTAAATGAAGAATGTTTCCTCTCACTTAGGAAGATTTATAGAAAGAGGGGAGGAAAAGATTTGGGGGTTTCACTGAGCCCATGTCAAAACTTGAAAATTATCTTCACTGTATAAACCACTGATACTAAATCTACATATTTCTAGTTGTACCTCACCAGCGTAGCTAAATTTTCTTTTTCTTGCTTTCCACTGCCTCTGCTGCAGTTTCCTTTCTTCTGGCCCGTGATTCCAAACCCCCCCCCCCCCCCCCCCCCCCCCCCCCCCCTTTTTTTTTTTTTTAAATCAGCTGGAATAGGTTGCTTCTGAAGCACTTCTCGTACTGCAGCACAGTTTTCCTAGCTCCTCCTGGCAAGGGAATGTGCTTGCACTTTATAGAGAGAATGTTGCTGTCTAATCCTGTGCATGGCAGAGATCAACAGGCTGGTTATGAGTCTACTTAAAATGTAATCATGCTGATGTTGGTGCTCTATAGTTATAAAGGAGGCTTTTGCTTTCATAGTGCAGGTGAGTGACAGCAAAATTAATACACTTCTCTCTGTTGCTGCAGTCTTCTACTGCTAGAAACGTCATTAAGGGGTGCTGAACATGGTGCACAGTGCTTTTGATGGGTTGGGAACTTCATACATCCTATTCTTACCCTAGGTGACTCCAGGGCAGACCTCCTACTTAACTCATCAGATGTCATTTTTTCTGTATCTGCACATTTCATAAGTGGCTTTGCAGTATAAATATTGAATAAATGGGGAAGAAATATCTTTTCCCATTAGTGACAGTAATGGACTTAAAATTTTAAGTTTTGCTTGGAAATCTTAGTTAATTTCTCTGCTTAAGTCAAATAAAAGTCTGAATATGACCCACAAATCTTCAGGCTACTATGGACTCTAAGATATATTGGAGGTATGTGCCCTTTCATGAAGGATTAGACCACTGTCACATTGAAATGTGCCTGCTGGAAAATTGAGCGGTTCTTGTCTGACCAACTGTATTCCTGCTGTGACATGTAAATTTCAACTAAAAGTCTCTTTGAACATTGGGGTAGTCTAACACATGCAGCAATTTAAATGTAAGCCAGTATAGTGGGTTTACTCAGGCTTGCCAGCCTTCACTGCTGAGGATGGTGGCAGGGTCTCGTTGCCAGTCCTTCCAATGGCTGGAAGAAATAGTGAAACATATTAACAGGTGATACAGGTGATTTTTGTAATAAAAATGTTACAAAAGTGGTATGAAATTATATCTAGAGATGTGATATACATGTATATAATATATCTAGAACTATATATAGCTACATATAGATCCATGTGTGCCTACACTATAAATAGATATAATATACATACATAATATATTAATATATAATCATAACACCCATAATACAGATATATATAATCTGCATGTATTTGTAGTTATTTATCTATAAATTATATTTGGAATTGGTTGCTAAATATTTTGGTGTTTGTATAATTCTCATGTTAACCTTTCTAGAGTTAAGTATATGTACATGTTTAAGTGCAATGATTTCCCTAGGTTTTTTTGTATATTGCTCATCACACTATAATCTCAGTACCCCCTAGATCATGAACTTCAACAGAAAAACAGATTAGCACTCCAGTTTTCTTCTCAATCCCAACTTTTTTCATTTTTTTTTTCTCCCCACATTATAAGAAGCAGCTGGCACATTGCTGTAAAAAAAAAAGAGCGCCTCCAGGCACAAGAAAGAGATTTGGAGCAGTAAGACAACAGCTGCAGAAATTGCATGGACATAGGGCCAGGTCTGCCCTGTGGGAAGGCTGTGCTGAGAAGCATCCTTGCAGTGGTCAGGCTGGCGTGGAGGTGTGACAGCAGATGGGACTGAAGGAGTCACACAAACCAATGCATCCTCTGTCTATAATCCCTAATCAGTCCCTGTCATCCACAATAGTTTGGGCTGGCTATGCTGATAAAGACTTCTTGTTTTTCTGAGGTTGGAGAACTGGATTTTTCTGCTGTGAAGTTTCTTCCAAAGCCACTGTAACTGAAGTAGAAGATAGCCCTAACCCTAGGAACTAAGTACTTATATAGCTTGCCAACAATATGACTTTGCCCAGCAATTCCAGGACTACTATCTTGTGGAGATTACTTTTGCTGTTAATGTACAATGTATTAATTCTCATTACTTATAAGAATTAGCTTGTAAGCCTGCAAAAACTGGAAATGCTTTGTTTTTGCTGAGTCTGATACTCACAGGTAAGGCTTCCCCATCCTATTCACAAATGAAATAACTTTTGAAAATATGGACTTTCTTGGTCATACATCTAGTTGCAAGACTTCTTGAGAAAAAATACAGCGTAATTAAATAATTAACCAATTATGGTTTAAAAAACATACTAGGAGATAAAATCCTGATCATGTTGTTGTGATCTGCCCATTTACAGTGGCAGGTGGAGAATTTTACCCAAAATGCTAAATGGGGATGTTAGATTTGTCAGCTCTTGGATACCTTTTCTGTTAATTTATATTTTTGTAGCACAACTAGCAAAGATGCCCAACTTCTTTTATACAGTGTCCACCATCAAACTGTAGGACAGGCAGTACTAATATTAATCACACTGGTTGCTTAAGCTTGTGCAGACTCAAGGTTTCTCCTTTAGCTAAATTTTGATAGTTTCCTATTCCAATTGTTGGGTTTTTTTAAATCACTGGAGCAAACAGTGCTGTCATGTAGTTTAGTTACATTCCTTGTGCTTTCACTAATTAGTCCCATTTCCATACCCTAAATAAATAAATCAAAATCTCTGTCTTCTTTTGCAAACAGGCTAAAACAGTTCCTAAAGAAGGCATTTTGGACAATGGCGATAGAAAATGTGTTTTATAAAACAAACACAATGCAGTACCCAGAACTATTTTTTGTTTGGCTTTGAGGTATATGTCTGATACCCCATCCAAAGCCTAATACTGCGTGGCTTCCTGTTCTCCAACATCCTCTAATGCGGACAAATGTCACAAAAACCTAAGAGACAGATACTAATTGGTTTCAAAATACGAATTAGCTGTGGCCAAGGTGAGAAGACTTTTGAAGAATGAAAAGGGAATGCTTGGAGCAGGAGGGAAATGCCCAGGGCATTGCTGGCAGGCAACAGCAATGTGTTTCTGAGCACTGACATTTTGAACAATAAGCTTTCTCAAAAAGTGCTATAAGCATGGCTGTGACACCACCTTCTTTAATGAACGTTCATTTTCCTCCTCATCTTAAGTATTTCATCCCCTTTCTGAATTAAGCATCACTTTCCTTTCTGACCGTGGGTGTGCTCTGATGCTCCTGCATCCCCTCAAGTGAAACCCATAGTGTGAAGATGTGTGTTTTCACCACGAGTGGTTCTCCCCAGAGGCACCCATCTCCAGAAATCCTGTCAATTTAGGAGCCTTTCGCAACAGAAGGGGTTGTAGCTGGTTGTTTGGGAAAATGAAATGCACGGCTCTTGCACAGAGGTGCCAAATATTTCCCATTTTCAGTAACTTTGTGGCTTCTGTTCCCATGGAAACAAGCAGGGGCTTGCCACAAACATGGTCCTGCTTGCAAGTAACTGTGGGTTATCAAGGAAGATCTACAATGCACTGAAGGTTTCAGATATAGTTTTATTATCAAAATGCTAGCTTTGAGCTAAATACAAGCATTTTTGGAGTCTACTCCAAGACTTGCCTGTAAGCTCTGACCTTAAAGCTCATACATTTTTCTATTCTTTGGTTTTCTCCAATATCAGAGATAAACAGAACTGGTTGTTGTGTGTTCCTGTTCTTGAATTGCAGTCCTGTGTCAGATATCAGTCTGCTTCAGAAGTAATTAAAATGCTGAAGCTCTTAAGTGCAGTGCCAGAGAGCACTAGTCTGATTTATTGAGCTTATTAGGTTGAGTACTCCACTACGTGGCACAAAAAGCAGACCTTTCTGAAAGAGTGAGTATGAGATAAGAAATACCAGAGTGGGAGGCAGATAAACAGAGAAACTCAAGAAAAAAGTGAAAAAAACCCCAGTGTCCGGCCTTGCTAGGCAGTGGTCTCAGTATTGTGATTAAACTTTTTTTCTGCTTTTGTGGTCATCACAGGAGAAGAGGGAGTCAGGCATTTTGTGGGTATTGCCAAGATGCGGTTTTTACTTCAGAAGAGAAACGTTAAGTAAGTGATTTGCCCATTTCCACACAGGAGATAAAGGTCAGAAAAGGAGATAGATTACAGCCTTTTGGGGCTCCTACTTTTATGGCCTGTTCACTACAACAGCTTTTCAAGTTTCTCTAAATATTTGCAAACCTAATGGCAAAAAAAAAAAAAAAAAGGCAAAACTCACAAAAGTATATCCTTTCAGTTATTTGATCAACATTGTTAAGACAAAAGGAAGTGTTTTCCTTTGCAGGATTTTGAGCTGAACAATGAGCTGAAAATGAACGTGTTAAATTTGCTGGAAGAAGTTTTGAGAGACCCTGACCTTCTCCCACAAGAAAGGAAAGCTACTGCAAATATACTGAGGTAAGTACACTTCTAATAATTTAGTATGTTAAATATAGCATGTGAAATAGTAAGGGAATCATGTATCATAGAATTCACAGGGTTTGGTTTTTCTCCAGAGTATTTAATTTTGAAGGATTATGTAGTGTTTTATTAGTTATAAAACAGAGTGTGTTTCTAGGTTTCATTCATAAAAATACCTGTATTAGAAAATTTTGCAGCAGAACTGCTGACAGCCATGGGTTCAGTCTTTATGGAGCAGGGAAAAATGCTGACCAGTAAAGCAACAAGACCACTTAGTTTGATACCTTGAGGAACTTCTGTCTCGGTAATGAGCCATCCACTCTGCTAAGCTCGTAAGAGGCTGATGATAGCCTAACGTGTCATGACATCCTAAAAAGAGCATGCTTGTACCTTCGTTTGTGTTGACACTATGTCCAAAGTTCTTTCGGTAGCTTACAGAGAGGAATTCTTTCTTAATTAGTGCCAAGAAATAAAAGACATTTAAGCTTCTGCATAACCAGAACTATTTAAATTAGGCTTATAGCACCTTATTTTGTTATTTAGGGTTGGTATTACAGAGTGGAGTGTCTAGACATGCCAAAAAGACAAATCTTCATAAGCATTTATCAGTGAAAATAATTCCATCTACTAAGTGTGAATATTTTATAACCACTGATTTTCATGTAAATTGTTCTACATTACTAAGGAGCAGTAAATATCTAAATAGGCAGTGGTTAAAATAAGATACGATGAAAAAACACAGATAAATCTATCATGTGCTTTGTTAGTATTTTTGTAAGTATTCTGCAGGAAAGCCAGTAAGGGTGCAATAAATGCAGTGTGTCTGAATTTTCTAAGACCACGTGACAGGTTTCCCCATCAGATACTTACGTGAAAAAGAACGAGGGGAAAGTTGTTCACTTGGGGGGGGGAAAGTCAAACAGAGGATAAGAAACAAAGGTAAGTTCTTAATAAAAGCACTTCATGTCAATGGGATCCTACTTAATTTTTACATAAATAAAAATAAACCTCCTTCTTAATAATAGTGCACGTGCTGTTACTTCAAGTAGAAATAATAAGTTTGTTTCATGTATTTCCTTGGAAGAAACAGCAAGCAAGGAGAGCAAAAAGGATTAGGATAATTGTTTTTAATAATATGTGTGACAGCAATGGTTCTGTCAGATGCTCACACTGGGAAAAATTACCTTAAGACCTTCAGCTTCTTAAGAAAATATGAGAAAATAAACCTGGATTGCCGTTTCATGGAAGAGTAATGGAATAGATTTATAGGCATTTAACATACAAGTTTGTTAGCAATTTCCTGTATACAGTTTCCAATTAGCCAATTTCCATTAGCTGTTGCATCCAAAAATGGGACCTTGGTAATTATGTGTAAACTGGGTTGCCCCCATTTGCATCCTTTTACTGCTATTCTATGAAATGGTAGGTAATTGTTTGCCCTCTTTTCCCTTCTAGCACTTATTACCGTAGCATTTGAGCACACTGTATATACTAGTGAATACAGTTAATCAGATATTTTCATTAAACATTTTCCAGAATTTTTAAAAAATTCAGACCGAATTTTTGACCATTCTGTGGATTTTCACACTGTATTTTGTTTGGGAAAAAAAAAAGGGAAAAAAGTTAAATTCTGTAAGAAGTGAAAATTCTGCAGAAGTTAAATTTTTAACAACCGACAAATGGGGAAAAGAAAAAGCAAAAGGAAGGAGTAGTGAAATAAAACAATACTTGAAACAAAATTTTAGTAAAAATGTAAATACAAATGCACAGAAGTTGAACTAAAAGTTAATCAAAATTAACTCATTTGAAATATTTTGTAGAAACAGATTGCATTTTTAAAAACCTGTATTTCATAGTCATTATCCTGACAGTATTTCTGGAAAGGATTATGGCACTTTACTTTACAAGCAGGCAAGTAAAGCACGATTAAAATGACCTGTCCAAGTTCTCAGTGGGAGTTTCTGTTGGAAACAGGTAGAGAATGAGGATTTCCTGAGATATGGTCCTCAGGCAAGCCATCTTTCATCAGGGTTTGCAGCTGTATACCCTAATCCTGCCAGATTTTTCAAACAACATAGTCTGATTGTAGATTTGGTCATAGAGAGTCATAAGTACTTGGTTACATCCCACAAACAAGCACTGGAAAAAGAGCCATTGGTGGCTCGGTGTGCAGAACTAGCCTTTTGACTGAATGCTGCATGGATGTCCTACTTTTCTTCAAAATGAGGCATGAAATTTAAGCCTTGGCTAACATTGGTTTTCAGAAATTTCTTACTGCTTTTCAAGACTGGCCATGCTGTTAGCATATATGCATGCTGGACAATTTGTATGTGGACTATTTCAATACTATTTCAATTTCAATTAAATTTCAATACAGTTTCAAAACTTTTTCAACACTGAGTCCAATAAGCATCAGTGACACAGTGTTGCTGTCCCAAGGGTTTAAAAAACTACTATGTTCCATTTTCAGTAGCAATCATATTTCAGTAGCAGCTGAATTACTCCTGTGTCTTATCTGTTTGTTTATTACATACACAAACTGCCCATAAATTTTCAAATAAGAGTTGTGGCATAAATAAACTTTCAGATAGAAGCTGTTGCATAAATACAACTTTCATAATTTAAACTGTTGTTAAGCTGCAGTCAGCAGGATATCAGGACATTGTCTCCAAGTTAAAAATGTTGTCGCATAAAACAAACTGTCCCAAAGTCTTGAGTGAAACTGCTGAGCAAAACTGTAATCTGAAGTGCTTGGGCTCATTCTCCAGCCACACAGGAGGCAGTTATTTGCCAGGCATGTCAAATTTGTTAACAGTCAGCTATTAAGGAGAAATTAATTTCCCAGGAATGGGAACTGCTTTAGTAACCTTGTGAGAAAGAGTGTATTGGAGCAATTCTGATTTTGGACAAAAATCATTCATCTGGGGTAAAATACACAAAGGTGTTGTACATCTCACCCTTTCACTGAAAGGAGGAGCTTATGTTCCTAAATCACCTTAGGAAGATGGGTTGTCTGGTAATTAAGAGTGGGTTCCAAGCTTTAAAAAAGCACTGTAGTTACTCCTGGACATACACACTCTCAGCAAGGCTGTATAGTTAACTGAGAAGAGGAAATTACAGGATTTAAGGACAAATTTGCAGTTGAATGTAGTTGTTTGTGTGTAACTGTATACTTGTGGTAGTGACACAGGGGTGCATGTTCCTTTACTCTTCCACAAGCCTTCATTTTTATTGCACATTATTAGAATAGGAATATTTATAAGCTTTAAAAAAACCTCATCAACTTGCTAGTCCTGAGCAGTGACCTGCTGTCCCGTGGAGATTGTGAACACACACTTCTGGCTGCCTCAGGAAACGTCTCAGCTACTGGGACATCAAGCAGGAGTCCTTCTGGCCCTCCAGCTTCTCAGATTGTTAGTGGATTGAGAGGTGGAACCAACTCCAGACTGCTCTTTGAAAACTTAACTTTTTAATAATCAAAAATATAAAACCAAGGAATAGTTTCTATCAGGAGGGTTTAGCTTTTCTGGCAGGTTGAGAAGGTCCTTGCTCAATTCTGGAAGCAGAAGAGAGAGAAGCAGAAGAGACAATATCTGTGTGCCTGCATCCTGTCTGACAATACAATTGTATGATCCCAGTTGGCAACCAGGTTTCTAGTGCCAGAAGAACAAAGTTTTTTTTATATTCGCACCAAAACCAAATATACTGCTTCTGGTGCAAAAAGAGGACATGGTGACACGGAAATGGTTCTTTCGCTGACATTCTTGCCTGATGCCTCCCATGGTGCCATGTCTGGTTGTGGAAGTAGGTCAAAGCAAACATTGAACATGCTCTTCCCTAAGCTGAGAGACTTCTATTACTTGTCTCTGAAGATTACTATTTATTGTAGTAGAGACAACCACAACTATGTTCCTCTTGACCAAGAACTGCTAATCTTTAAGCAAATGCTCCCATACTGCACCAAGACATTGTGAAGAGGCACCAGGTTCTACACCAGTGTATCTTTCATATCATTGTTTTCTTTTTTTCTGCATCAGATTACATATTTTCTATCATTTGCCAACATGGCAGATTACAGTCAATGTTCTGAATGTTAAGAGAAGGCCTGTAATGGAATAAAATTATTTCTTGAGTTCCTTGAACCATCCATAGGTTATAAGGACAGGGTGAGGGGAAAGGGATTTGTTCTCTGCAGTGACTTACAAAAAATTCTTTGGTGGGACCCACTGTGTCTAACTAAAGAACGTAACCATGAAACAAACTGTAGACAGCTAATGAAGCACTCCTTCCAAGGTAACTGCCTATCACAAAGGAGATTCTGTCCACCAAAACTGGCTAAAGTTAGGCACCCTGACTGTTCCTCCAGAGATCATAGAAGACACCTTCCTTTCTCAGACAATTACAGAACAGAGGCAGTGACTTGCAGAGGATGTGAATCCCACCCTGGATGTCCTAAAGGTATCTAGAGTCTTTCTTGTTGTAGAAATGTGTAGTGGTGCTCCCAGGTATTGTGTTCCTCTTTTGGTTCACGTACCAATGTCTGGTTTGGAGAAATGCTCCTCAGTCAATCACCACCACATACCTACCTCCTTGGAAAGATGTTATCTTTCTGGTTTTCTTCTAGATGGAGGGCTTTCATCTAATACTACTTAGAGGAGGAATATAAATTACCCCCCTAGAAATAAATGAAGGGCTTTTTTACTGTTATTAGAAATTAATTTGTTTGAAGATTTTTGACAGCATATTTTTTATGTGAAAGCATAGATTTGTCATAACTGGAAGTTTTGATGAAACTTTGATTCAAAAGGCTTCTGTAGGACAGGATGAAAATGGGAAGCAGGGGTGAGTCAGTTGACATGCCCCTCATGAAAATAGTCATTCACCCATTTGCTAGGTGAGTGTCATAAAATAGGGTTTTTAGTTGTTCTGAAGAGGTGCTTGCTGTAGGCGTTTATAGCTAAAAGGCCTTGGCATATCAAAATGTGTAGTCTGTCAGAATTCTGGTTTGCCAGTCAGCTCGCACTGTAGGTCTTGGCTTACCCACATTTCAGTTTTTGTAGTCTACTCTCAACTCTGAAAAGCAGAGGAATTCAGGGTGAGGTTAGGAAAAGCATCTCTTATCATAAATTCAATGTTCAAACACTTGTGAAAGAAAGTTCATGCTTTCTGAGCCTACATATGGGTATATTCCATGGACGGTCTCCTTGAAGGATATTGGGTACGAATGTCTCTTTTTACAAACAGACCCAGCCTTTGAGTGTATGCGTGCATATGTGCATATAAATTTCTTGGAAAATCAGTCCCTTTGTTAGCAAAGATTAGAGGAGGAGGAAAGGTTGGTTGGTATTCCGAAGATATTATGGTCAGCTCTGGGAAAGACTCTGTACAGTATATGAATGGCAAGGAAAGTGTTTATGAGAGATACTGAGCTGCTTCATGCCTTCTTCAGTCATCAGACAGAACAGCTGGTATTTCTTGCATGATGAGATTTTTGTTGAATGGACTGACAGGGTTTCTCTGCATGGTAAAAAATCTTCTTTTTATTCAATATCTGTTCTGAAAGCTAGGGAAACCTACTGAAGTATGTTTTGCTTGACATTTTATCAGCCTTATTTACTAACCCCTGAAATCTAGGTAAAATTTAGTTGATGGTGAAGGAGGAAGGTACAAATTTAAGACTGAACAACAGTAAATAACTTTGATAAATAGTCCTAACTGGAGAAAAAAAAAGGTGGTTCAAGAAACAGTTCCTCTTTCTTCTTCCTCAGTATAAATGTAAATGAAATCCAGGGATATGTAGAGGTCAAAATTTGATGAATGACCGATTCCTGCCCTGTATGATCTCACCAGACAATACATTTCAGGCTCTGTAACTTACACCAGCTTTTAAAATATTTTAAAAATATTTTATGTACCATAAAGGAATGAAGAGACAGATGTTAATATTTTCCTCTAGAAAATTATTTTCATATTTGGACTGGTCAGGCATGAAGAATGGTTTAAGTGAGAGACAGGTCTAATCTTAGCTACTAACTCTTAAGAATTAGAAAGTTATTTCTTATATATTTACTTCCTTCATTTGTAAGTATAACAATGGAGGTGTCACGCCACTCAGTCCTCACTGAGAGGGATACTGTTAAACAGTCTGGCAGAATCTCTCCTTAGCTTTGCTTTCTCTGATAACTCTTTTCACATGGACCTGTGCTTCTTACCCAGCTTCTAGGAGGCTCTCCAAGGAGTGCAATGGGAACTGCCCAAGCAGAACGGATCAGCTCAACATATCCTCCTAGACCTCTGTTGAAACTAGGTATCCCAAAGCTGACAACAGTGCAGACTGAAGTGGAAGCTACTATTGATGCTATCAAAAAGTAGCTTTATCCAGTCTAGAGATGTGTTGTTCTCTGCAGATTTAAACGTAGAGCATTTATGGATAACAGGAGAATTTTTTTTGTGAGACCACTGTTAGAGAAAAAGCACCAGTCATCTCTTTAGAATGAGGGATTGGAAGTCTACATAAAGTGTGAGACATCATGTTAGAAGGTATCAGGAAACAAAGACGGGGAAAAGTTAAGTATTTTCAGGCTTCTAAGAATCTCATGTTAACTATTTTAAGCACATACAATCGTTTCTGTATCAAATATGAGAACTCCAGCCAATATAAAGTTGTATGTAAGGAACTCAAATGATGAGTTTACAAGATTACTGAGAATACTTGGGGCAGCAGGGTAAGCCCTCTCTTTTTTTTATTGCCAGGAAGTGTCATACAATGAACAATACCTTTCTGCAGGCAATCAGTCATGATCACAAAATAAGCTGCTCAGGAAAGACAGAGTGCCTGTCTAATTACAGTTACTGAGGCTGCACACTGTTATTATCTGGTGAAGAAGCTTAGGGTTCTCCCAAAGAAGTAGACATTCTAGACCTTGCACGTCTTGCCCATCAGACACAAGGTGTTTCCAACTCATATGAAGAATGGGGCATTTTCTGTGGATTTTATAGGCTGACAATGAAGGCAAGGTTTCTTAGATCCTTTCTCTGTGTATTTGCATTTGATTTTAACATTGTCCTCCAGTTTGGCAAACCAAAAGGAAACAACGGCAACCCACAACAGAAGAACCTAGTGTACTAAGCATTAACACTTCCTCCCCACCCACATAGTACAAATTCCATATCTTACACTCATAGCTAAAGTCTCCAGGCAATATAATGCTTTTCTTTTAACCCTTTCCCCAGCTGGTGCATGGAAAGTCTGCTACTACAGAGTGCAAAAATAAAGAATTGGAGGGACCACGAGAAAATACCTGGTCCAGTTGCTGTGCTTTCTGGAATGATCAGTAGAACTGGATCTTGTTTGAAAACGGTCATCTAAACTTTCCTTGAAAATTCAGCTGATGAGTACTCTACAGCTTCTGCAGAAAGCCTGTTTCAGTGCTCACCTATACTTGCAGTTGGAAAATGGAACTTAAAGCTGAAACTAAATCTCCCCTGAGGCAAATCAGTCCAGTGACTTCTTGCCGTATCGTTGATGTCTTTATAGGCAGTATTCTACATACTGACATACTGTTCTTTCTCCCTAAGTCTTTTCTTTCCTATATTATATAAATCTGGTCTATTCAAGATTTCTTTGAGTCTATGTTTTCCAAATTAAGGGGTGGCATCTTAGAATCATGTGCCAAGATACTACATCAGGGTAGATGGGGTTTGATGAATACCTATTACTTCAGCTGCATTCATTTTTGACCCATTACTCTGAAATAACCCTAATAATCACAGGTTTTCTATAGCAGAATTGGAAGCGTGGGTTAACACTTGTATTACTGAAAGCAAATCATATACTTGCTACAAGTAAAATCTGCTAGCAGTTTCTTGTCTATCTCCACACTCACACCTCTTTGTGTGGGACACTGAATAGGACAGTGTGGGGCCAATAAACAAGAACACTTCTCAGTGAATCACTCTTTTATGCATGCATATTTTGCTGTCTTTGATTCACTTCTCAAATGTTGATTTTTCAAACATCTCCCCAAAATATCATTTAGCACCGTAGTCTGATTTTTAAAAAAGAGAGAAGAGGCTTGAGATGTAATTTTATACCTTTATGTTTCCTAGGATTATTCAGGATAGAGGCCTTCTGATTAAATATTATTGTTATTGTATTGTGGTTTTGCATTGCCAGTCCAGTTCTTGAAAAGGGCATTTTTCTTCATTCACCAAATTTCTTTGCACTAAAGTCAAAGTGGGATAGATGCAGAAACCTTATAACTATAATCAGCAGATAAGTGCAGTAGTTATTGTAATTGACCATTCTACAATGTATGCTTCTTCTTGGAGATTTTTAAGCCTCCATGACCATCGTTTTACCTTACGTGACTGTGATGTCATACCATCTTGTACACTTTTACATAAAACAAGATATGAGATTTTAGGTACCAGGGTTTTTTTAATTTATACCTCTTCAATTGCAGTCTTAAGATTCATTTTAGATAAACATGACTGCCTATCTGTGATAAGGTTTTCTCATAGCCATAGACAATTTTATTTATATAGGATGCTCTACTACTTAATTTTTCAGGGCTCTTTCTCAGGATGATCAAGATGATAGCCATTTGAAAATAGAGGATATCATTCAGATGGTAAGTTCATCTTGAAATTTAAACATAAATACTACTATATAAAATGTCATGGTTTTAAGTGAATAAAATGTAGTGCAACTGCAACTTTACAACTCTGGACAGCAATACTGTTCTTTTGTATCAGGAATGTACATTTCAGTTTAGAGAAAGTAAGAATTTGGAGCCCCTATCAAAGATGAACAGGTCAAAACTTTAGGATTTGGATTTAAATCACATGATGGAAAAAAGGGGGAAAGTTATTAATATATATGAAATGATAAGTGTCTCCCATCTCAGCTGCCATCAGAACCGTAGCTGACCTTGACTGACAATGCCCATCCTCCAAACTGTAGTCACCACCATCTCATAAGTTCATTGCATTAATCCAAAGAAGAGTGTGGGCAATGAACTAGGTGCAGGGTGATTATGTGGAAAGTAACACAGAATGCACAGACTTCAATTAACCTATATACTTACTCATGACTTGGTATGTGCCTGTTTTCCTGTGAGTTTCCAGCCTGACATTTGCCCTTATGTTGTTAGCAATTTTTCTTAATTCATATTTCTTTGTAGCAAAGAATTAATTACAGCTCTGTGCTGAAAGTTAATATGAATGAAACATACCCTGTGCTTTGAAATGACCTTAGATGCAAAAAGAGATCATTAAGCATTCTCCTTATTTTTGCAGTCAGATTGTCCAAAACCGGAGTGCTTTGAGACTTTGTCGGCCATGGAGCTTGCAGAGCAAATAACTCTTTTAGACCACGTAGTTTTCCGAAGCATACCCTATGAGTAAGTGTTCTCCTACGAATGACTGAAGTGAGTACGGTGGATGAGTTACTGACTGGCAGTGTTAGGCACTACACTAGTTCATTGTACTGACAAAAAGGTTTGCATACATAACAGGATAATGTCCTTCAGCTGTTTCTATCATTGTGTCTGACTCCCCTATAGTTTGATCATGTTTTGAAAGACTGAGTTCTTTGCTAAGAAAAAAATCTGTGGTCTAAGGCTCTGGGCTAGTGAAGGGTGAATATAGTAAGGAAATACTGAGTCTCTAGGGAGGGAGTGTCAAATCAGCTTCATTCATACAACAGTTTAACATGGATATAACCATGTAAGCTGACAAGACCAATCTCAAATAGCATCACAATGCTGAAAATGAGGATGGGAGGATTGGGGGAGGGGATTAAAAGACAAATAAATCTTTATAATATTTACTGCTTCAGATGGCATTAAAAATGGTATATAGTGAAATGCTGGAATTAGTGTAAAGCTGTGTTATTAGCTTCTAACAAAATGAGGTATACTTGAAGTCCACTTAGGCTATGGTTACAGACAGAGACTCTGTACTGTCCTTATTAAAGCCATTTTTGTTTGGGTTTTTTTTCTCTCCTCTCAATATCTAGAGAGTTTCTTGGGCAGGGCTGGATGAAAGTGGATAAAAATGAGAGAACACCCTATATTATGAAAACAAGTCAACATTTTAATGATGTAAGTACTCTTAAATATAGATTGCTTTCTAGGAACTCTGTTGACGTAGTCTATGACCTCTGGAACAAAATTATTTTTTTCTCAGTGTGATGTAACTTCTTATCTAGTAGTGACTGAATGTTACAGTGGTTTTGTGATTAACCTTTTAAATCAAAGCACATGAAGATTCTAATTTTCAAGAATTGGTATTCAGCATTTCAATTAATAGAGTAGAACATTTTAAATGGTACTACAATGCCTTGTGGCTTCCAGAAGAAACTAAATTTTCTCCAGAGTGAAAATACAACACAGATTCTATTTAGTGAATGCCCTTTGTATCCCCAACCATACCTTTGCTCTTTACCATTTTCCTTGAATTTTACTGAGAAACTTCCCAATCAGTTTTATTACTGTTGGCTTGGAGATACTCCCCATTGCATGTCTTACCCTTCTTTAATATTGTCATCCCCCCTGCTTCCCTACAACACTGTTCTCAATAACACTTTCTTTGTTTTTATTAAGACCCATAAGTTCTGTTGTGCATTAGTTTTTTCTGCCTTGTTCATTAAGTAATTATATGTTGAAATGGATTATATTTAAATGTCCTAAATTTCTTCTTCTTTGTTTGATCAGATGAGTAACCTTGTTGCCTCCCAAATCATGAATTACGCTGATGTCAGCTCCCGGGCTAACTCAATTGAAAAGTGGGTGGCAGTGGCTGATATTTGTCGATGTATGCACAATTACAATGGTGTGTTAGAAATCACGTCAGCCTTGAACAGAAGTGCAATCTACAGACTTAAGAAAACTTGGGGTAAAGTATCCAAACAGGTAAGAAAGATACGATTACAAGTAGGGTTTCTAGATTTCATTGGTCAGTCTATTGTTCAGAGAACAACATGTTGAGATAGGATTCCTCCCATAAATAGTTCTACTTCTACAATACTCTTGACTATTTGCTGGAAGCGCCAGTATTTCATGTCAAGGTCTTTTGTATTTAATTTATCCTTTTTTTTGGATATCATTAATTAAATATCTGTGGGACAAACTGATTTCTACAGAATTAGCAGGTGCCTAAGACTATGACTTGAGCCTAAAGTACTGAAATATGTGAGAAATCTAAATTTAGATATTTTCAGATACACACATCTAGGTGGTTACTATCTCAGGTGCCTAAAGTAGGACCCATATTTCTCTGCCTGTGCAGAAAGTCTGTAGAAAGGTCAGCACTTCTTCTCAAGGTGGTGAGGTTTTTGCTATGCAGTAAGAGACTGTAGACAACCAGTCTTCTTTCTCATTTAGGGGCAGTTTAGATGCAGTGAATGCCTCTCTTTAACCCTTACCTTGCTGCTGAGACTGTCAGCAGCATGGCTAAGGCTGTGAGAATGACTGCCCGTAACAAAAATAAGACACAAGAAAAAAGGCTGGCCAGGATGAATAGTATCCAGTCTTTTATGTTTTCTGTTTTAAATGGTTTGGAGAAATTGGTTGAATGATTTAAATCTCAGCTTTCTGCTATTTCAAAAAAAGTGAATATTTTAGTATGGTGGAATAACAGAGCAAGGAGGTCAGTAGGACAGAGCCAATCACTTGTAAGTTAGGCAGTATTTGGATATAGAGTTTACTCCAGCTAATGGGAAGATTTCAACTTGGCCATTTTAGAGCTGGCTAATTGGCATGCAAAAGGTGGGCTTCTATCATTGTGTTTCTTCCTCCATATGTTTCTGGTAGGTTTTGCAAAACACTAAAGCAGCCTAACCAATGAAATCCCCTTAAAATACATCCTGACTGTACTGCCTTCTCCAGTAAGCTTTTTCTCAGCTGCTTTGTAGCTGGTGCTACATTCTTTTATTTAAAAACATGTTAAAAATCCTTCCAATACAAATTGTTATATAAGAGTTTACCTCCAAAAATTTTATGTTTAGAATTTGTTTGATTTTTAAACTTCTCAATTTAAAAACCCGACACAATAGATTAATGCTGTTGCACAGTTCACCAGTACTTACTGGAAACATAACTGAGTGTTTCATCAACCTGCTATTTAGAAGAAAACAAAAGTGTCTGTTTCTGCGTACAGCTTTCTCTTAATTGGAAATTCAGTTTCAAAAAGGACAAATTTCTCAGGATTCTCTATACTGTCTCAAGTCTATAGCATAAATACACTGAAAACCGAATTTATTTAACTTATGAAGTAACCAGGCTCTAATGAAGCCCACTGAAAGTAATTTGTGTAAGACAGTAATATGTTTTCAAATACATATTCAGCTTTTATCAGAAACTTGGAGGTAAAACCAGTGTAGTGCAAACTGCAAGACAGTTAACATCCTTTACTGACACTAATTTCATTAAATGCAGCTGAAGATCCTTGGCAACATACAAGATCAAGTCTCTAATATTCTTGTATACACAGTAAACTGAATTGCTGACCATTAATTTAATGAATTTGTGTTTTTCCTGAATTTGCAGGCTAATAATATTAGCATAGATACAGGTTCTGTGTATCACTCAAAGGAAAATCTTTAATGCTGCCTAATCTCCATTTTCAGAAATAGACTAGGAACAATAAAGCTAAATTCCTAATGCTTATGTTATTACTTTTGAAAATGGGGTGATGATGCTAAGTGAATTACACCTTTTCTAAAATCTAATCCTGGTCATTTATGTGCAACAGCAATGACATTTGTAATGAATTTTTTTTCTAGACAAAAGCTCTCATGGACAAGCTTCAGAAGACTGTATCATCTGAAGGAAGATTTAAAAATCTTAGAGAAACGCTCAAAAAGTATGCTTCCCTACAATATACAATTGTGTTTTGTAATAAGCAGTGGATAGTACATATTAAAGATTAATTGGCTTTAATTAAGCTTTAATAATTAATATAATATTGGATATTTTTACCTAATAATATTTTTAAAAAATTCTAGTTTTACTCTATTTGGCATTATTGTTTTGCTGAATATCCTGTGATTTAGTACCCCTTGTAGATAAATATAGTATCTCCAGAGAATTACTGAAACAAATTAAACTATTATTCTGTGTGAATATTCCCTGTTGGGGTTTTACTTACACTGATAAACTTTTTCAATAAGTGTAAAGCCAGATTTATAAATAAAAGTTCTTATTCAAAATCAGGATTCCAAGGAGTCCTTGTTCCAGCTAAGAAGTTTAGGACTTAGGACTAAGCCTGAGTCAGATCAAAGATCCATTCACCCCTTTGTCTTGTTTCTGACAGTGACCAGTAGCTGATGGGGGGAACATAGGAACAGGACAAATGCACAGTGATATTTCCTCTCCTGTAGCCTTCCAGCCCCCTGTAGACTGGCACCCTGGAAAACAGCCTGCTTTTTTTGTACAGTAATCCTTGAATATTTTTTTCTTTAATTGATTTGCCAGGTTTTGTTTGACCTTATGTAATTCTGGTATCCAAAATATCCTGTGGCAAGTGTTCCACAATTTATGTATGAACTCCACCTGCATGCATACAAAACCTGTATTTTTGCAAGTTGTGTAATTAGAAGTAGGCTTTCCAGGATTGAGTGGTACAACTACTTTGAATGATCTTGAGAGGAGAAAGAATTAAACTACTGGAATAGTTACTGGAATGTTTAAAAATATATATAGTTCAAGTTAGTAGAAGTTTACTTAAAAAGTATTGTTGGGGATCTAGCAATTTTTTAAAAAATGTTTTGACTTAAAATATATGAAAAGGTACTTTAATACAACTTTCGGTTAATATATTGCTTGCCTGTGTACAACAATCATCCTTATAAAAAATACCCAGAAGGAAGTGCACTGCTAAGCAATGTCAGCAGTCTGCCTAAGTTAACAGTACAGCCATCACCCTGCATTCTTCTTATGCCAGAGCCTCAGAAAACCAAGTTTGCTACTATTTCTGCTGAGGCAAGAATCAGTGCATGTGGAGCAGTGATTATTGCATTAGAGAAGCAACAATCATTATCTCATTCCTCCTGTACCTCCAATAAGAGAAAATCCTTGTTCTCTAGGGTCTCTATTCCCAGTATTCCAGATCATCTTTGCTACCTCTCTATCTCTCTCTTTCTTCTTTGTGTTCACCGTTGAGAAGTCCTGAATAGACTTTGACATTGACAGAATGGTATATACATGCATATGTATACAGATACATATACATATGTATATATATGCATACATATGTGTATGCATGTATAAGTATGTGTGTATATATATATATGCATGAATATACATATGTGTGTGTATATATCTCCACACGTGCACACATGCGCTCACACACACACACACACACGGGCACGCACACATGTACCCTTGCTATACTAGGATGCTTTTACGACTGCAGAACATCAACCACTCAGAAGCATGTCCATGTGCATTTTGAGCTTGTGTGTAGGATCTGTTTCCAAGTTTGTCTGTCAACCAGGATTGAAATATGCTTGAATGTGTTCTCTGATTCCAGAGTTTACCTGTCCTTCCTTTCACTCTTATCACGTTACCATTCTACCTTTTACTAAGGGTTATTTGCCATTAATATTAGGTATAGGACAGAATACATTCAATTTGTCACAGGCAGAGCAAATACAACTCAAGTGAAGTCAGAGAAGCTGTTTGTGAATGTATGAATGTACCCATTGATTAGAAGTATGTTAAATAATAAAGAGTTTGTGTGAGTTATAAAAAAAATCAGTTTGCAAGTTTAGCTACAGGCTGACTTCTTGTTTCACAGTTGTAACCCACCTGCTGTTCCCTACCTTGGAATGTACCTGACAGACCTGGCATTTATTGAAGAAGGAACACCAAACTTCACTGAGGAGGGCCTTGTGAATTTTTCCAAAATGAGAATGGTAATCTTCATTTCCTTATATGCTTTCCCACCAGGTGTTTAATTATGTGAGTTAATTATTGATTTAATTGTAATTCCTTTGAATTTAACTTCTAAGATGTACAAGTATATTGGCATCATGCAAGATAGGTAGCTATTTGAAAGCAATTACTTGACGCAGTCTTCTGTCACCACCTTCTGGTAAATTGAGTATTTTTACACGGAGAATTTGCCTCCAATTTGTTCTCTGCGAAATGACAGACAGAAAAAGCAGCTGTCCAAAGCTGATGAAGGAGCAACAAAAGGGTTTCCAAAATAACCAACATTAAAGGAATGTTGTGATTCACCAAAAAGCAGTAATCACAATCTTCTTTTCAGGTGTGCTAGGGTCTATCTAAAAAAGCATTTTAAAGTGGATTTCACTCCAACTACCATGTAATGTTGTTTTGTAGCAACTCTTCAGAGAGAAGCATGAAAGTTTCTCTTCTAATCTGAGTTTAATGCCCTTCTTATGGCTACACATTGCAGCAGTCACTCGAGGCAGAGAAGAGAGGTTACCAGTATGGGGAGAGGAGAGAGAAGGTGGTTCACTTGAGGGTGAATGAACTAATAAATGGTTAATTTAGGAAAGTGAAATCCTTGGAAGCCATTAGGAGATGATCTGTGCCCTTCCCCTCCCTCCTTCCAGAATAAATTGCATAATTTGGTGCAAAATTCTTGCCTTATGTGGCTTAGATTAAATCAAAATGTAGTTGTACTTACTCATACACATGTATTCTTTTTGAAAGATCTCACATATTATCAGGGAAATACGCCAGTTCCAGCAGACCTCCTACCGCATAGAACATCAGCAGAAGGTAAGGCTCTTCTTAGGTACTGTTACCTAATACTGAAATCAAAGCTGTGGTAGCAATTCGTTTTAAAATACAGCTGTTGTTGAAAGCTAAAATCAATGTATTCTGCTCCCACACACAGAGAGGAGAGGACAGACAGAAATATGGACAGGTACTCTGTAACACCCTTGCCCTGGCAGAAACTCTTTATTTGACACTATATGGAAGCAAGTTTTTTCCCTCCTTCTCTGGAAGCTCTCTTGGGATTGCAGCCTTCATGGGTCTGGGGTACGAGGGAACAGGTTCAAAGGGAAATATGTTTTCCCTGCCCAATTAGAAGCATAATTCCGCAGGGAATCCCAGAATTCCAGGATTAGGGGACAGGAGATGGTCCAAGCATCTGCTGATGTTGTGTGCATCCTGCAGTTCTTTTTCCCTTGTCCCTCACGGGAGTGATGAAAATTTGCCCAAAGCCAGTATGTGCCTTCAGAGATTTCATCTCAGACCCCAGAAGTGCAACGTGGACTTAGGTAACCTGGCTAAGGATTTGCCCATTACTAAGAGGCCATACTTTATTGCTTGAGCACTGCTGGTGCAGTTTTACACCATTCAAATGAGCTGTTGTGTTTCTCCAGAAGACAGTGTGAGGATCCAAAATGGGCTGAAGTGGAAAAGGAAAGCAGAGAAATTTTTGTGGAAGTAACATACAGTCTGTTCATCTGTGTTTTCTCCATTCCAGGTCACTCACTATTTACTTGACAAGACACTCATCATAGATGAAGACACCTTGTACGAGCTTTCCCTAAAGATTGAACCCAGACTCCCCGCCTGAAGAGCCAGCTTTGCCTCAGAGTCTACAGAAAGCTTTAGTACAATGAACAAAATCATGCATGCCAAGTCCTAAAGACAGCAAGGGAAATATTGAGAAGAATGCAAGCTCTCTTTTCCAATAAGAGATACAGAGCCTCACAGCATTTCCCTCTCAGGCAAAGAAAATGAGCCTTGGAGGTGGAAGACAAAGGTGCTTCCCACCTGGATTAAGTGATTGCTGCTTTGCAAAGATAATGTTTTGCAGTAGGGACCACACATTTCATGGAAAATAGGAGACTTTCCTGTGAATGGGTACTCATTGTAGCCATCTTATGTGTCAAATTAAGGGGACAGATGTAAATGGTGGTAATATACTCAGGTATATTAAGATAAATGAGCAAAATGAGATGGCTGTGATGTGTTCTGGGTTGATGGTTAACTATGTGTTCACTGAGGCAGTACTGGCAGTGGTGCCCTCATATCGTGTTAACTTCATTTTAAAAACAGGATCTTAATGGTCGTCTACAATCTTGGAGTGACATTAAGGTAGCATCTAGTATCTTCAGATCTGCAGTTGTTCAGAATGCTTGCTATACATTAATGCTACCCAATATATAATGTTACCGTCTTTAAATGTCTTGTTAGCCTTTTCTAAGGTGACTGATTTTACCTATAAATTAATTGTAAATATTTTTTCATTAATACACAATGAGCGTATTTACAGCATGGAAAGCAAATGAACTAATTGAATAGCTGTAAATAGTTGCCAGCCTTGCAAGCTTCATCTGGGAAATACAAGGTTAGGAGCTATACCTGAGACTCGAGAAATCTGGACATGCAATGAATGGGATGGTTAGTCATGTTGCACACAGCCCTGGAAAAGGCACTTTATTTTTCTGCAACTCCTGCAGCTTCTCTGACAAGTCAGGCTACAGAGCACTTTCTGGACACACTGTGGAGAGAAATACATGTCTGGTCTGGCAATGGGTAGTGATCAGCAATGAACATTAGGAGTTGGAGTGACAGTTTCATTTTAAGTGGAATCAGTGGTTTGAAAAATGTCTATTTTTTGTTCAGCCATTTGGCACTGACTTAGGTCTAAATTTGTTCACAAGTGGTAAACTTTGAAAACACAATCTATATATTTTTATCTGAGCTAGTAATTATCGACTGCATATGGGCATATGTTTAAGAAAATGTGCTATTTGTAAATGTTTTCAAAGCCTATGCTTTTGTGACATACCAGGTAGGTAGATGTCATTTCTACAGCTAGTTGGTACTTCCTAAATTTTCCTGGTCAAGAGTGGCCTGTAGCTGCATGGAAAGTGAGCTCAAATGCATGCTGCAAAGTGCATCATAGTATTAGCACTGCTGAAAAAAATTGGCTGGAAAAGTGTCCTTACTTTTCCAACGATATTCAGCCAGTTGAAGAAATAGGGCTATATCACTGTATACCTCCCTTAAGTCCTCTCAGGGAGATAGATGTTTAAAATAGATTGTGACCTAGGCCTATTTGATCTGACATTTCTTACCACAGTCATGATGGTTCTTAATGCTGGCAATGAAAAACGGATCTGCCTGGCTTGTGTTTTTTGTCTTTATTTGCACTTTAATTATATTGCTGGCCCAGCCCAGAGCTGCACAATAAATTCCATTTGTTCTGTCTGCGTGTAACTGCTAGCATTTATAAATGTACCTTAGCAACTGTAAATTTCATTAAGGTTCTTCACCACAAGGACCATCTCTTTGTAAATAACTGCATGAGGAAACATCACAAATACTGGAAAATTCCTCAATTTGAAAAGTAGAGAGCAGCAGAAAAGGTAATTCCAGAAACAATTTAAACAGTTCTGGCTAATGATTGCTGTAGAAATGAACATCGAAAATAGTACTTATAGAAGCTTTTTATTGTCAAAAATGTGCTTGTTCTTTTCACTGATGACTGACAAGAAGCTGATTACATCCAATGCATGATATGAAAAAAAAAAAAAAAGCAAGCATGGTTTATTTGGACCACAAAACCAACTTACTGTGTATTTCCTGTACAAAAGCAGTTACCATATGGTGGTTTCATAAAACACCTTGAAGTAATGAAGAAACGGGGAAAAAGTGGTCCAAAAAGTGATTTCTTAACTTGGTTTTGTTGTTTCTCTGTTAACAAAGAAAATATGTAACAACTGTCAATGTCAATTGGCATCTCTGTTGTATGCTATTAACTGCTGCTTTATCTGCCTGTACCCCATTTTACCAAACTTCCTTGATGTTCTTAGGGTTACAGGGTACAATTCTTCATCTTACTCTTTTCACAGTTTGTTGTTGTGTACTTTATGTGTGTGTATTGGTTCTTCAGAGTTTCAGAACATTCAGTGAATTTTAATGCTTGCAATATGCAGGGCCACCCCTGCTGTGCTCGTGCTCATGCTACAGTATTACAAATAGACAGAGAGGAAGACAAAGGATTAGACATGGGTTTTTTCAAAGGTGCTGAGCATCCGTATTTTAAAATCAGTAGACAATGTGGTAGCTCAGCCCCTCTGGAAAAGCGTATACTATTTATATGCCAAAAGTTACCTCCTGGGTCAGTGGCACAATTTAGATGAGAATCACTAGAGTAACTAGATACCTGATTTGTGTTCAGAGCAACAAACAGTAAACCAAAAATAAAACAACAAACAAACAAACAAGGTTATGGTCACAATAATGTTTGATTTGCTGATGACTAATATTAATCTTTTTGGTTGGGGATACAATGCATTTATTAAAATACAGGAGGTGACTGCTCAAAGGAGTCAGTATGCGTCTTGTTATCCACAACCCTTGCCAGTGTTGCAAACCTGACCAAAGCTGGAAACAGCTGTTCTGCAGAAATCCTACACGGCAAGTGTAGAGCGGTGTCTCTGCCCCATGGTCGGGTTGTGTACTTCATGTGTAAGTGGCCCGAGTGCCTCTGCTACAGTACTGCTGCAGTGTTTCGAGCTATGGCAATAGTTAGTAGGCAGCAGCAACCTGCTTTATGTAAGGCTTTGCCTAGTACATCTATATAACCAGCTAGTGCAGTGATCTCCCTGTACAGCACACAGGGATTGTGGAGTTCCTTGCTACCAGCTTCTCTGTGCCACTGCACCACAGCCATATAATATACAGAGATAGAAATCCCAGTCATAAAACACCCACTGTTTGCCTCTGGTGTTTTAGGGAGGATGTCTCCAAGTGAGGACTTTGTCATGTGGATCTTGCTGTCTTTCAGGATCTTGTCCATTATAGCTTTTACATTGTGGAAGCAGAGCAGACTAGCTTTTCTGCAATTGGAGCTGAAAAAGCCCAGCTGATTCAGGATTCATAAGAAAGAGAAGGGCTGAAGCGCCTATCTACTTGCCTTTCTTAGCTCCTCAGCCCTGCTGCGCCGGTCAGATGCAACAGCAGTTCTCACTTTGGAGGGGCTGCTCCCTTCGGCACTCTCCGGACAAAAACGCCTCAGGGTGTACGGGCTGGCTAGCTGCAATGGGGATAGCATATTTCACCCACTGGTTCAGCAGTGGGCACATTTGCCAGCAAAGTCCGAGGGGAGTTTTGCAGTATTTTTTATTGCATAAGTAGCAGCCCGGATTCAGCCCGTAGTTATCTGGGAACCTGGGCAGCAGCACAGACACATCCCCTTCCATGTGACAAGAGGGTACTTGTCACACGCTGATACGGGGTTAGAGTTGCCTTCACCCCAGCCTTCACCCCTCTCCCCGTCCCTCTCCTCCCCCCACTAAATTCACCAGTATTGTTAGTGGACTAAGCCTGCGGTTAGTCGTCATGTAGAAGAAAACATAGATCCATTGAATTTAACAGTGGCAGCAAGTGTGTATTCTGTCCTGTTCTTTCGGCTAGTCCTGTAACACACAAACGCATAGCTTAATAGCAGAAGATGATACTGGGACTGATCACCCTCATTTAAAAGTAAGGAAGAGGTCTCCATCCTCTTTCTGCTTTCCAGGTTCTTAACACTGGTTATTGTTTGGTAGGATAAAAAGGAACTTAACTATTTAAAGTATTTATTAACTTTAACCATGTTGATTTTGATTTCCGGACATGTTCATTACCCCAAATTTCCCTTCATAATCATTATTTATTTAAGGATTTTACAAAAACAGTTTTATTTGTATTAATATTCAGTCTTTCCTCCTTTCACTCTTTATCAGCAACATTAAACTTAGATATATGATTTAAAATTCTCACCATTAGAGACATTTTTACCCACTCATAATTGTTATTCATTAAGGGCAAAATCCTTCAGACCTCATTCTGATAATACCTTAGGCTTCACTGAGAGCTTTTCATAAGTAAGTATTTGGGGATCTGGCTCTCAGCTATTTGCCTGTTACAGTTTTTGCCTCCAAAGGTCAAATGTCTCTGTGTAGGATGCTTTGTGTCCAATACGCTGCTCAACTGTGGCTGTTTTGTTGTACCTTTACTTTTGAAATAGTCTCTGAAGTTTTGTTCTTTAGGAGAATAGATGTATGTTTATTTGACAGATGTACCTATATCTAACATGTTACTTAGTGCACAATCCAGATGTTTTTGCATGTGTTGTAACTTATCTTTGGACCCGAAGTTATTGCTTTGTATTGTTAGTAAGGCATATCAGGCAGGGTGTTGTGCCTATATGCTAATTAAACATTCTTTTTTGTCCTGAGTTTCAAGAGTCCTTACTGGTATCTGTTTATATTCCCCCCCAACCCAGTGGTGAATAATTAAATCTACTCCTTCTGAATTACTGAGTCTTTTAGAGAGACGTGGGAGGGGAAGGGACAAGCCATTAATAAGAAGGGCAACAATCAGAGAAAATTCAGGGTCTCTGCTGGGGAAGAATGGTTTGATTTACTGTATTTTATTCTTTTTTCACTCATGCTACATTGCAGCTGCTGTGGGGGCATCATTGGGAATAATGCTGATTTTAACGTGGAACAGAGAATGAAGCCTAATTCATAGACAACTAGAAATGTTGATCCACTGTGAAGTGTACAGCACAAATAG